GTCCAGCTGCATCCACCCTCTCACCCCTCCCCGTGTCTAGCTGCCAGGGGTACACTTACAGAAAAAGGTTGAAAACCCCTGCTCTAACCATCAATATTTGATGGCACTGCTTCAACAACAAATACTAGTCCTGTGCTAACAGCTCCAATTAATTATATTTACTGTGTAGATACTCCACAACTCATTTTTTAGCATTATGACTGTAAAAAATGAAAATTAGATGATTTTGTAATCAATTAAGTGCAAGCTGGCTACATAATTTAAGGGCCAAATGTGTAGCACACGAGTCCCTCCACAAACCCATGCTCATATGCATTTTCTCACTTTTATTCATTGCAACATAGGCCCTGGACAGGCAGAACATTTGAACTGCTTCAAGAAGGTGCAGTGTTTCAGTGGTGGACAGACATACAGCCACCTCCCCTCATCAACCCAGCCTCCTCAGTTCTGCGTCTCCCCTTTCTCCTACTAGCCAAGGCATTCCTAAATCCCTGCAGTGGCATGTAGCAGTGCACTCTCCAGCAAGTGGTTGCGGGGGCGTGGGTGCCTCAGGTCTCTGTCCTGCAGCTTCAAAAGAAAGGCAGAGCCAACGAGTGGTTTTCTGTGTGCTCAGCCTCTAGGCTCCCAATTCCAGAGATGAGAGCAATGTAAGGAATGACTGTGTGTGTGGCTCTCGGGCTCCCATGCCCAAGTGACTGCCCCCCTGCCAAAACCAGGAGACCGAAAGCATGCAGGCACAGGGATGGCCAAGCACACTAGAGAGCATTCACTGGCTATCTGTCCCACTCTCCCCCTCTTCTATCCCCCACTTTTGGGGGGCTGGTGGCGAGAAAAGCCAAAAAAAAAAAAGGCAGAGCATTGAGGGATCCCAGAGGACCAAGCAATCCCGTCATGCTCCATGGAGCATGAAACTATAACTGGCAGAAATTCATTTTGAAGCACTTCCAAATCCTTGCTGTTTGATTCAGGAATATTTCTGAAATGCTTCATAAGGCATGTATGTCTGTTCCCTCACCATCTGAAGCGCTTCAAATCTCTCTGCAGGGCCATGTAAGCACATGGTTAAATCCATGCATGTCATAAAGATTTTAAAGTATGCTTAAGGGCTGGTCAGAATAAGC